ACAATTATCGAAAAAAAAAATATTCGTTCACAAATAAAAAATGAAGAAACAAACATGTTCATAAAAAACTAACACATTTTATTACAATTCGATTTACATAACCGTCTTATCTTCGTTTTGGTATGTCATCAATCGTAGGCAAACTCTTGACGCAAAGCAATTTTCACCATGAAGTTTTTCAGCACGATTTGACCTGGAACAACTTCCTTTGACCTAACAGGTCGTGTCCTTCATCAACCTCAGACTAGTAATACAACAGATCTAGACTCGCACCGCCTATTGTTTAAGGTGTATATGCTATGTGTGCCACGCTCGGTAACATTTGCGTAAACACCTTCGAAGTTTACCGAACACAGGATATTGTGCACACTTATTATTAGTCTATATTACTAGTCTGAGCATTAACCAATCAAAATGATGTGTCGTAATGACGACATTTTCCGATTATTGACAATGATTTTCGCAATGCGGAAGTGAATTACCGCAATGTTAAAATGCGATCTGTAGCACTGATTGCGACGAAAAAGACGGCGATTTTTTCCTCTAAAAACTGTCGATTCGCAATTTCCGAATGGTAACGACGATTAATAGTAACCGTGGGTAAACTGAATGTAGTCGCTAACAGGTTACATCGTTCACACCTTTCATGATAGCATCAAAGTAAACCACGCCCAATAACTAGGTACACGACTTAACGATCACATTTTTGGCTTTTCGAAAGGTACTACTTAAAGAAATGTGGATTACTTCAGTATTGCAACATCGGGGTTCATCCTGAGTAAATGACAGCATAGAAAGGATGCGAACCACGTTGTGTAGGTTCGCCATGCCATGCGAGTTTTTTCATAAAATCACGAACCAAACTACCGTACCAATCACGATTATTATAAAATTAAATAAAGATATATTTGTAAGAATATCGTCGACGCCCAGTGAAAAAAATTGAGGGATGAGCTTTATACTCGGAGGGGGCTTACGATCGGGGAAGTACGGTACTTTAAGGCAATTGAGTTTCCACTGTCAGAATATTGTGGTTCAAACGCATAATATTCTAACCCAAGTTCTAAAAAGCCCATTTTGCATATAAAAGTTCAGTTTATATTAGTAGTACTAAATGCTTGGTAGCATGAACGGCTATGTACTATGGCGTATACGAATGTATACTAAAACGTCATAGCTTTGAAAAGTACCCGGATGTTAAACATAGTGATCACCATTGGGTGGGTTGAGTCTAAATTCACCTTTAGTCAAAAAATTTAAAAACATACTTTGTATGACGCAGTTTTTCGAAGTTAGGCGGCCAGGTTGAAATTGATCGTAATATTTTGCTACACAACGGCTATTCGAAATTGAAGGGAAACTATTGTAAATCGAGACAGATTTCTTTCAACTACAGACGAGACAGGTCGATAAAATTTAAACGAACCCTGACCTCTGGAAATACCTCATTCCTAGAGTTCCTTAGTACCGTAGGTCGTCGAGCACGGCACGTACAACGTACGTAGCGACATCGCTACAATGCATGCTAGCTGTCGAGGGGGTTTCCGATTAAGGTAACCAAGATGGAATCGCAGAGTGCGCGGTTTTTCCGCAGATTTTAAAAACAGCAGTCGTTGCCGATTTTTCTGTAATTTCCAGGGTATTTATTTTTAATTAACCGAGCATTTTACGTTTGTGTATTTGGCACTGAAAAGTTAGTTATGGATGACAGCACATCAATGGTGTTTATCCATTGCTTCGCATATTATCAGCACGGTGATCGTTACAGCGAAACAAAAAATGTATGCTTCAGTTTTAAAATGCTTTTGGAGAAAAAAATGCGTGAAAATAAATAAAAAAAGTAATTAACGGTATACCAATGGAAGCTGCCAGGCTAGAAGTTGTCGACATATTGCGAGATAAGGGTGAAAAAATTTACTAATCATTTACAACTGTGTGTTTCTTTCGCTTGCATGCTGAAAAAGTCTACGTCTTATCTGTTTTTCGTAGCTTGCGAGGCTACGCGCTTGAGGTAAGTTAAACAAGGTCAAGGATAGGAAGTCGCACATCGTCGCACTGTAACTAAGGCCAGCAACTCATTTGCATATAACATGAACAGTGACTTGTCAATCAAAATCAAAGAGCAACGTAAACAAACTTTCAGGATCACATACGCGTGCCTCGGTTCCCTATATTTGAAAAAAATCGTTTTTTGAGTATGTTCTAGCATTAACAATGCTACAAAATTATAACACAATCTAGCCAAGACTGTCTGGGTAAGAAAAAGCAAAAATAAAATTCACTCAGAGTGCCCACGAACCTGCATCAATAGCTTAATATCATAGTTATACCAGTTGTAGCATCTAATGACCGACTACTAGTCTGGCAGTGACAGTTTAGCCTAAATATGTGTCTCTGTGTACATTGTTTTCATCAAAAGTTTTTTAATAGGATTCCTTACAAATATACGCGCATGAAACGAGATTCTATGTGTTTGGATATGTGGAGTCGACGTCAGGTCCCAGGAAACATAACATGAGTATTCTATGGAAAAGATATATTTGTATTGAATTTTTAATGTTCCTGTTAATTGATATTCATCAATTTTGTCAGCCCACCATTCCATAAAAAAGTAACCTAATCTAAAAACACAATGAACACCTATAAGGACAAATTGTCCGGAAACTCTACTTACACTATTTGAACTTGAGATACTACAAACGATGATTGAAGTATCACAGTATGTGGCATAGACTGAGAACTAGACAACGTAATCCGTATACCCATTTACGGATAAATGGTACATCCAGTACGCCGTCAATGCACGTGCAAATGGTTTTAGTTTGAAGACACTTTGATCGGACGCAAATTGCCCTACAATGCTTTGCTGCGAACAATATGTTACAATAGTTTACACATTATATTAAAGAGGTAGTTAGAACCAATAAGATTGCAATACATTACAACTACATATGATTGTGTTCATTATATACTAGTATTACCTAACATCATTATTAAATAAATCTTGGGTTGTTGGCAGAAGTGATACAAAAGCGCATAATACATTATTAAAAATGTCACCCACTCTGTAAATGTTTCACAGAAAAACAAAGCAATACCATAAAAACAATTTACGTTTGAATTTATTTTCTTTATGTCATTTGTAAATTCAATTTCAAATTGAGGCTATATTGCATAATACAGTGCACTTACACTAACGTGACTATAACTATAACAACAGCAGAACGATTAGACTTGAAAAAGTGCTATCATTGGTAAATTATATACAAATACTTGCGTTATCTTTATTTATTCAAAGCCTTACAAATTATGCAGAGCTTCGAACAAACGCAATGTTATTTTCATGGTGATTTTATTATTGTCATTGTTGGGAACTCCGAAATGTTATAAGTGCGTACAAGACTGTCTATATTAAAAATTAAAAACATATCTGTAAGGGCACATTTATCTTAATTCTCACGTTTTCTTATTCTAAAAGAATCATAAAGTGAAGAGTCTACCTTTTATCTATATAAGCATTGTCGGCATTCCTGTGCTTGAGGTGCTTTGTATTGCAAAACGTGTGCTTTATAATGAATAACTAAAAGTGTATTGGACACCACTGGAGCCGACTTGATTCCACCTTCGGACTGAATTGAATGTGTCTCTTTTGGAAATAAACTTGTAAAATTAACTTGTTCAAGTGTAAATCAAGTTTATGATTTATGTGTTTTTATTTCAATATTTCGTTTCAAACATTTTCACAACCCATGAGTGTGTTGTTAATGTTAATAG